AGAGGGGACTGAATGCAAGGGAGTGCATGCTGTACTTGGTAAAAAAACATGAGTCACTACTGGAACTGCACAAACTGGCCCCTGACAAGAAGGACCCCATTTGTGTGACTTCATTGAAACACTTACCTGAATGAGCAGGTGAAATCCATTAAATAATTGGGTAACTATGTAACCAAGTTGCACAAGCTTGGGAGCCCTGGATTCTGGTTGGCTGCTGAGTATCTCTTTGACAAGCACACTCTGGGAGACAGCAATGAAGAGCTGACCTTTCGGCCTGACTTCCCCATGGCCACAGGCATGACTTCCTGGGCCTCCAAGGCAGCCACATCCGTTCTGTTTACCTTTTCTGCAAAATGTGCCAAAACATCCTACTTCAGTTCTTTCATTTGTATCATTCCTTCAGATAAAGTAATTTGATACCCAACTTAAAAAAAAAAAAAGATGGAAGGAATACACAGAGTCGCTGTACCAAAAAGAAATGGTTGATGTTCACCCAATGTCAAGAGATTGTATGTGATCAAGAGCCAATGGTATCGTGGAAAGAAGTCCAAGGTGCATTGAAGACACTGGCAGAGAACAAGGCTTCTGGAATTCATGGTGTACAAATTTAAATCTTTCAACAAACTGATGCAGCACTCATCTAAGCCAGGAAATTTAGAAAAACAGATTTAGAAGAACAGGTCCCAATTTTGCCCATTCCAAAGAGAGGTGACCCAATGGAAGGTGGAAATTGTTGGACAGTATCATTAAGTCTCACAAGTAAAAATTTTCTTAATTCACAAACGACTGCAACAGTGTATTGAGAGGAAACTGCCAGAGGTTTAAGCCAGATTCATATGAGGACAAGGAACAAGGGATATCATTGCTAACGTCATCTGGATCTTGGCTGAAAGCAGAGAATACCAGAAAGATGTTTATCTGTGTTTCATTGACTATATAAAGGCTTTTGACTTTGTGGATCATGACAAGCTATGGATAACATTGTGAAGAATGGGTATTCCAGAACACTTAATCGTGCTGCTGAGGAACTGAAGAGGCATTCATTCGAACAGAACAAGCAGGCACTAAATGATTTTAAAATCAGGAAAGGTGTGCACCAGGGTTGTATTCTTTCATCATACTTATTCAGTCTTTATGCTGAGCAAATGATCCAAGATCAATTACACAAACAACGTGGCATCAGGATTGGAGAGTCATTAACAACCTGCAGTATGCAGATGATACAACCTTGCTTGTTGAAAGTGAAGAGTTTAAAATACTTACTGATGAAGATCAAAGATCATAGCCTTTCAGTATAGGTTGTACCTCAATGTAAAAAAAACAAAAATCCTGGCTACTGGACCAAAAAAAAAATCAAGATAAATGAGGAAGAGATTGAAAATGTCAAAGACTTCCTTTTGCTTGGATCCACTGTCAACACTCATTGAAGCGGCAGTCATAAAATCAAATAATGTAACAAATCAAATTAGAATATTTAAAAATAATACAAGGCTATATATATAAGTGTGCTTTAAAATAAACTGTAACAAAATTAAATTCTATTTTCATTTGTATACTGCCTTAGAAAATTAAGAATTTTTAGCTGTGATCGCTATAAATAAAACCAAACAAATAGCAAAAACAAAGCACAACCCAACTGCCACCAAGTCTATTCTGACTCATAGCAGCCCTGTATAGGGTTCCAAGGCTATAAATCTTCACACGGGCAAAAAGCCACCTCTTTCTCCTGGGAAGCAGCTGGTGGGTTTGAACTGCTGACCTTGAGGTTAGCAATTCAGTGCTTATCATACAGCACCACCAGGGCTCCTAAAAATGAAACAGCGAACAGAAAATGAGGATAACTCAGGGCATTCTCGTTTATAACTAACTTTCCCTCTTCAGTTCCATCCCAAACATCTGGTGTCAATGTTAATAAGATTTCAGCAAATCAGTCTACCTCCTTGTATTTCAATTTTCCTTTTTAAGGAGTGTTGAACTAGTCTCCAAGATGCCATCTAATTTAGAAATCCTAATTTGCTCAAGAGTTGGAATGCTGTTAAGTGCCATCAAGTCAGTTTTGACTCAAAAGCAACTCTGTATAGTTTCCAAGAAGCCACTGTTGAGTTTGAACCGCCAACCTTGTAGTTCAAACTGACTGTGGTCCTGTGCATTATCCCACAGGCCACACCAGGAACGGTGGTGTTAAGTGCCGTTGAATTGATTCCAGCCCCCATAGAGCCTCTGTATAGGATTTCCAAGGAGCAGCTGGTGAGCTTGAACCACCAACCTTTGCAGTTCAAATGACTTTGCATTCTGACACATTAGCCCACAGTGCCACACACCAGGAATTTTTGTTTGTTACGTGCTGTGGAGTTGGTTCCAACTCATAGCGAATACCAGCATGTAAATCCAGAACACCCTCTTGTGGTGGTTTGTTAAAACCTATGTTTAAGTGTGAGGTGATAGTTTAAAAAATTGTTTTAAATACTTCCTCTCCAGGCACTAAATAACAAGGGTAGCCTATTCCATTTCTTGGGGCTCAATTATTAGAAAATATTTAAGACTTTTATTAAGCTGCCCTATAAAGCCAAAACCAATTAGAAGGTTTATGAGACTTCTAAAAGTTTGTGTAAAAGTGGATTTGAAAGATAATGGAATTTTTCCAACTTTTGAATCCCCCCTCATACAAGGTCAAAGAAATTTAAATTCCCTGTTGATGTAGTCAATTTGTAGGGCCCTTCAAAGCCTATTTCTTTGGCCACACTAGGGTAGAAATGAGGGTGGAATTGGTCTTACAATCTAGTATTGAAAAGTTGCTATAACATTCCACCTTTTTCAAAACCCTCTGAATAGATGGTATAAAGAACATGTGTCTTTAGGAAGGGTACTGGCATACCAAGCTGGCTTAATTAGCATGTGCCATCTTTGTTATTATTATTGCTGTAGAGTTGGTTCCAGCTCACTGTGGCTGTATGCATAACAGAATGAAAAAGTCACCCAGTCCTGTGCCATTTTCATGATCCTTGCTATATTGTTACTTACCATTGAATCAACCCAGAGAGACCCTATTGGCTTTTCATTGGCTAATTTTCAGCTGTAGATCACCAAACCTCTCTTTCTAATTTTAGTCAGAAAACTCTGCTGAAGCCAGCAACAAACACATAAGCCTCTGATGACAAATGGGTTGTGGCTGAGCTTGAGGTGCATTGGCTGGGAATTGAACTGAGGTGTCCTGCATGGAAGGCAAGAATTCTACCGTGGAACCACCAAGCTGTATTCTAATCAAGAATTCTACCGTGGAACCACCAAGCTGTATTCTAATCAAGAATTCTACCATGGAACCGCCAAGCTGTATTCTAATCAAGAATTCTACCATGGAACCACCAAGCTGTATTCTAATCAAATCTGTTGCTACTGTCAAATTAATTCTGACTCATGATGACCCCATATATTAGAGGGTAGAACTGCTCCATAAGATTTTCTTGACTTTAATCTTTACCAAAGCAGAGCACCAGTCTTGGGTAGATTTGAACCACCACCCTTTCACTTAGTAGACAAGCACAAACTATTTGTGGCACTCAGGGTCTTTAGGACTCTATTATGGTCATGTGCTGCCGAGTCAATTGTGACTCATGGAGACCTTAGAAGACAGGTAGAGTTGCCCACAGGGTTTTCTTACTTTAAGGAACAGATGTCACGTCTTTTCTGCAATCGAGTGGCTGATGGGTTCAGCCCACCAACTTTCAGCTAGCCAAGGGCTTTAAACATTGTGTTGTGGTGGTGGTGTGTGTCAATGCTGTATAGGGTTTTCAAGGAGGAGGGGCTGCTGGTTTGAGCCACCAACTTTGTGGTCAGCAGTCCATTGGGTATCCTGCAGCGCCACACCAGAACTCCTTAGTATTATTGTTATTATGAGCTGTTGAGTTGGCTCTTGACATACCCTGTATAGAATTTCCAAAGAGCAACTGGTGGGGTTTGAACTGCCGACCTTATAAAATCCAGTGCTGATCCTACAGCACCACACCAGGAAATGCCATACTTGACGCTCTAACTTGTATGCTCAAGCTACAAACAGTATTCATTGACTGAGTCAATATCTGAGCTCATTGAACGCTCCATTTCCTGTCCATTTCTATTCCCATAAGCAGAAACCTCAATGTGGTTTAACGTCTTAAGAATGCCATGTGCTGTGCTGGTCAAAATTTGCACCTCTCCTTGTTTTTCATCTTCTGTTCTAGCCTAGCATGACAGAAAACAAAGTTATTTAAAATCTGAAAGATGAGAAAACTAAGTACTTAAAACTAGCGGGTAATTAGAACTTTGCTTAAGACAAGTCAGGTTTGTGATTACAAGGAAATTCTTTCTTAGAGCCTTTCTCTCATTGATACAGCCTTTAAAAAGAAGCTGCATCACGTTACAGTTAACATCTCCACACATACTAACAGAATCACTAGAAGAACTATTAACATCAAAACAAAAAACAAGATTAATGAAGAAATTCAGTGTTTTATTATTAAACTGTTTCTTATTATGCTGCAAGGCTGTTGCCTCATTATATAAAAATAGCACCAGCAAAGGCAAGTATATCACAAAATTAAGATATCTTCAGCTAATACTATACAGCAGACAGAGTCATCACTTCGGTCATTTTCAGTGGAAAGATCATTGGGTATGGTGACCCAAATTCACATATGGTTATCAGCAATAGCTACAAAATGATGTGAGACGTGAGATAACCATGTCACACCTTGAAATACCTAATTTCTGTAACTATTCTAATGACAGATAATTTCATGAATTCTGAATATTAAAACTAGATCCTACCCTAAAAAACATGTGTATTGTATTTCTCTGCAGTCATTAGAAAGTTAAGGAATACTTTCTTCAATAGCGTAGTTGTAACAAGTAGTTCTTGTTTTCCATTGGTATTACTAAAAGCTATTTTATTGGATCCATTACTAATTTAAGACAACTATACTGGAGTAAGTTGTTTCATACTAGTTTATTTAGGGGTTCCATTTTCAGTCCTCAATAGATTTTATGTATTTCTCATATGCTTCTTCACTCATTAGTTCATCAAGTTCTGATGGATTGCTCAATGTCATCTTGATCAGCCAACCTGCAATAATAACAAAAAAGAACCAACTCTGTATCTTACATTCCAAATTGCCTTTTTAAAGAGTAAAAATCAAATTCATTCAAAAGTAACTAAGTACTTGTGTGCCTTAAAATTAATTTAGTATTCTTTTTTTTTGGAAGGTGGAGCACTTTATTATTTACATGGAGTAAAGAGCGGGAGGGTAGAGGCAGAGGCGGGCCGGGAAGACGGCTGGGGCTCAGTTGGTGATGATGAGTTCCTCCACGCCCCAGTCCTCATAGCTCCCATCTGGCTGGTAGCGGCAAATGATGATGGGGATCTTTCCGGCCTTAAGCGGCTATGAGCAGGGGGGTCTCTCCCTCTCCAACTCCACCATCACGGGGGCACACATCGTGTCCTGGAGGGCTCAGGTGCCCAGCATGCGGGCTCACTTGTACTTGGTCATGTATGGTGCGGTGATCCACTTCTGGTTGGCCTGTGGTCTCTCCCCTGAGGGAAGGATCTTGGTTTCCTGGCCCTTTTCCTCAGCATTCTCCAGGTCATCTAGTCCTTCCTCTTCCTCCACATCATCAGAGTTGTTACCATCAAAATTGTCCTCGTCTGACATACCGCCCGCATGGCATAGACCTGGTTTTACTCCCAAAAACCGCGAGGAGACCCCCCAAAGAGCGTGCCTTCACCACGCATGGTGCCAAGCAGACCTAATCTAGTATTCTTTACATAATAAATAACTACCATTATTTGTACCAAGGAGCATTTAAATTTTAGCCTTAGGAATGAAATGAATAGACTTCATTATCACAATTGAGAGGAATTATAGCCAGAAGAGACTCAACCAAAGTGGGCTGAGAATTCCAAATTGTAATAAAGCATCAATAATTAATAAAGCATCATTAACTGACATTTTAAAATTTAAATAAGGGATCCAAATGCCAGGTATATCTTTCTTTCATAACTGACACTGTAACTACTGACATTAAGGACATTAGAAAACAGTACCAAGGAATACGAAGGTCTGGATGACGTGTAGCGGAGCACTGCAGCCTAACCCTGCCTTTGCCATGGATTCCCTGTGGGGCCCTAAGCAGTGACTCTTTGGGGCCTCTATTTCTTCATCAAGAAACTAGGGAACATTGCTGTAAGCCTACCTCACTGGGATAGTATGCAGATCACAATGAACTAATTTATATAGGAAAACTAAAAATTAATTCAAGTTATTTATTCTAGTACCACTTTCTTTACTCAAGTATGGGAGCGGGAACACGCTTTACACCTGAAAAGGTAAACACTATAGTAACACAGGAGTCTACAACTATGATACTAAGAACTCTGTTAGTATAAGGCTGTCTTTCTCATCAGAGTTCTCAAAGACCTTACAGATCCACCTAATCTTGTGTTTGTGTTTGTAATGAGCATGCTGTCCACACTGAATACCCACTTAGGGAGGAAATGAAGGCACAACTGGTTAGGCTTGTTTTCAACTCTAGCATCAATGTTAACAACAGCAATAATTCTTGGAAAAATCTCTAGCAACAACTTACCATCTTCATAACAGGATTTGTTAATGAGTCCTGGATTTTCTGTAAGAGCGTCATTGATTTCTGTTACCTCTCCGGATAAAGGAGAGTAGAGTTCACTAGCAGCTTTCACACTTTCCAAAGCACCAAACTCATCTAAATTCAGAAATAAAGGAAATATTAGATGTCAAAGGTCAATGACCTGAAACTAAAAAGTTAGTTGTTGTTTGAACCACTTACCTTGTGGTCCAGTGCTTTATCCTACAGCGTCACACCAGTAGTCACTTCTAAATCATGACAACAAATTCTAAACACCACTTATGAAACATAAAACCATAGGTCTTGTCATGTTCATATCACTCATGAGAAGGACATAAATGTCCTCAATAAGTGGACCTCTGTGCTCTAGACAGGAGCCTTGGTGGCAGAGTGATTAAAGTGTTCAGATGCTAAGCAAAAGGTCCACAGTTCAAACTTACCAGAGCTGCTCTGTGGGAAAAAGATAATGGCAGTGTGATTCTGTAGAGATTTATAACCTTAAACTCCGTGGGGCAATTGTACTCTTATAGATTAACTACAATTAATCTTAGTTATATATATATATAGAGAGAGACAGTTAATCTTAGTTATATGTATATACTTAATGTTAGTTTTATAGTTAACTATAGATTAACTTATCTATAATCGTATAGATTAACTGTGAGTCAGAATCAACTTGACAGAAACGGGTATAGCCAACCAATAGAGAATATACAAGCTTTCCTAGTATACATGGAACATTCACTATGACCAGTGACATGCTAGACCATAATATAAGCCACAGTTGGGGGAAAAAACACACCCAAAACTAATCCATTTCTTTGAGTTTTTAGAAATCACTACGATTGAATAGATCCGATGCACAGACACTAGTGACAGAAGACCACAGAAATTGTGGGACAACATCAAGAACATCATTTATGAAGTATGCAAACTGGTCAATAAAACGACAAGAAAGAAAGACCAAAATGATGTCAGAAGAGACTCTGAAACTTGAGTACAGCAAAAGGAAGAAATAAAGTGAAAGAGTGGAACAGATTTCTGAGGGTGGCTTGAGAAGACAAAGTATTATAACAAAATTTGCAAAAATCTGCTGGAGTAAGAAAAAAGTAAGTTAAAAGAACTGAAGAAAACACTGACGACAAAAGGTATCCTGGTATGGCATTGTAGGATAAATACTAGACTTCTAACCTCAAGGTTGGCAGTTCAAACCCATCAGCTGTTCCTTGAAAACCATATACAGGGTCACTGAGTCAGAACTGACTTGATGGCACAAGGGTAAAATATTAAATGAGGAAGGAAGCATCAAATGATGATGGAAGGAATACACAGAATCACTGTACCAAAAAGAATTGTTTAAGTCAGCCATTTCAGGAGGTAGTATATGATCAAGATGCAATGCCTTTGTGTTGAAGAAGTCCACACTGTACCAAAGGCACTGGCGATAAAACAGGGCTTCATGAATTGACAGAATAGCAACTGAAATGTTTCAAGAAACATGCAGCAGTGGAGGTCCTCACTTGTCTATGCCAAGAAATTTGGAAAACAGCTCCCTGGCCAACCACCTGGAAGAGATCCATATTTGTGGCCATTCTAAAAAACAATGCAGAAATTGTCAAACAATATTAAAACCACAGACAACTAAAATTATGCTGAAGATCATTAAACAGTTGCCGCAGTACATCAATAGGAAACTCAGAAATGTTGGCTTGGTTCTGACACTGAATGACACGAGAGCAGTGTTTTAGTGTTGTCATCTTGATGTGTCTTTTAGTCTGAAGAGAGGCACCAGTCGGCCACGTGATGTAGGGTGGAAACATTTCTCAGTCTTACTGGCTTGAGGGACCTGAAGAAGAATTTGGGGCCATTACAACTATAGGAAAGTGAGGTGGGAAATCCCAGGAGGAAGAAACTGAGAAGATGAGCCCTGAATTTTGTGTATATACTCTGCTCAGATCACTGAATAATTCCAGAACCATGCATGCACGGGGCACTCAGAGCATCCTAGCAAAGGGGGAAGAAAAACAAATGCAAATAAGTGAAAGGATGGAAGGAAGGAAAGCAATATGAAGGACTGAACAAGAGGTCCTCAATATGGACATCAATATGGAAGGCTATAACAAGTATCAACACCTCTGTTCACCTCATCAAAGGGGCTGCTTCTGGGTATGGCTGGCACCTGTTCTGGGTCTCTCCAAACAATCTTGGAGTCTCTTTTCAAATTGACAATCCCTGACAAAGATGGTGTCCCCAGTAACAAGGCTTGTCTGTAGTGAACACTTTCACATGGGTTTCATCACCTCTGTAGACTTCCATACACCTTATTTACAATGACTTAATATGGCACTTGGAGCCATAGTTTCTGAGACACCCACACAGTGATTGCATAGCTTTCTGCTGATGAAGACAAGGTGCATGGAACTCTTGTGGGGTTATGACTAAATAACTCGAACGAAGAGATTGGTCAGTTCTTTTCTCCCACTAGGTTTAAGTGGAACCATCCCAGAAGTGGAAAGGACAGACCACTGTCACCAAGAAGAGACTGGAGCAAAGCATGTCCTTTGGACCTGGGGACCCTGTTGAGAATCTCCTAGACTCAGGAGATCAGTTTGTAACACTGGAGATGGCACAAGATGGTGAGATGAGATGGCAGAGAAATGGCAGCTTAAGGAACCAGAAGACTGATGCAAGATGGCACTGTGGGCTCCAGTGATCACAAAGCAAGGTACTTATAGTGGGTTACTGACCTACAGAGTGAGAGGGCTGAATGCCACTGAACAGGAAGCTTGCTGGCAGAATGGGGTGCCTCTGGACTCTTCTCAACTCATGGCATGAGAGAACTGAGTGCCTTTGGACCAAAGTTTACTGGTGGAGTGGGGTATTCCAAGGCACTTACTGACAAAACACCTGCCAGTGCAGAGGGAGAACAGGCCTAGGCGCTCACAAGGCCCAAAGGGGCAAGAGTAAGAGGGCTGCCTGTGGGCACAGCTGAGAAGCAGTCCTGACCAAAGAACTGTCTCCCGAGCCCTTCCTAATGTTGAACTGTAAAGTGTTCCTTCCCTGAAAACTCTGACTTGTGTCATCACTGAATTCAGCAGAGGAGAGAGTGCTGTGGGACAGACAATTGGTGTTAGAATTGTTTAAAGCAGTTGGAGAATGGAGACATGCCTGACTTCTGTCTCACAGGAATCAGCCTTGGGCTGCTGAACTTGATTCTCCTTCCCCCTAGTGAAGCCCAGCATTCTCTTGCATATCATTAGTAAATACACCCACCAGCATTTCTCCATAGAGGCAATTAGCCATACAAACCATGTTGTTGTTGCTAAGTGCTGTCCAGTGGATTCCTACCCAAAGTGACCCTAATTAGGATTTCTGAGGAGTGGCTTCAACGACCACACAATCCAGATCATCCTCCTATTCCTACTCTGCTACTTCCTCTTGCTCCAAGTGAATAGGCTGACCAGTTGCTTTACCTTGGATGGATGCTTGCAAGCTTTTTAAGACCCTAGGCACTATGCAGTGAACTAGGAGGTAGAATAGAAGCATTAAGCATGTTATTAGGCCAATTAACTGGGATTCCAATGAAGTCATGGCCCTAGGCTCCCAAACCAAATCCTATGAGGTTTTTGGTTGTACATAGTGGCCTCAGTAGCTAATTTTTTTTTTTTTGGGGGGGGGTCTTTGTTGTAAATACAAGTATCATAACTTTTGCCAATCAAACTTTTTAATAGGTGTACAACTTACTGATAACAACTGTAATAGCTATGCAACCCTACTCTTAATGCAATTTTTGTGTTGTACCTTTGGTCTACCTCCCTGCTGCCCCTGGAAACCACTAGTAGACTTCCGTCTGTATACATTTGCTTTTTCTTGTCTTTTTATATAAATGAGGTTATACAATATTTGTGCTTTTATGAGTAGTTCGAAAAAAGACACTCTGCATAATGTCTTTATGTTATTCGGCAAAAGGTCTTCAAGATAGAGCTACACTGTAGCATGTATCAAGATTTCATTTTTCCTACTAGCCAAGTATATATGTATGTACCACATTTTTTGAATCCATTCATCTATTGATGGGCATTTAGGTTGTTTCCACTCCTTGGCTGTTATGAATAGTGCTGTAATAAATTCTGATGTGCTGAAGGGTTTTGATTGGGAGGAGGTACAAAGAAACTCTTAAGGTAAGGAAAATATTCTGTATCTTGACTGGGGTGGTTTACATAAATCCTGTTGTCAGAACACAATGAACTGTACACTTAAGACCCATGCATTTCACTAAGTATAAACTTTGCATCAAAAAAACAAAAAATCTTTAGCAGAAAGTTTACAGACAGTAGTCATTAGTCCCAGGCTATTACCTGAAATACACTAGTAAGCACAGAAAGAAAGTTCATACCGCTCCCTTGTAAAGAGGGGAGTTTATGATCTGCTTAAGAAAGCAGCAGAGGGAGTACATTTTTAAAACATAAGAAAAAGGAAAGGAATAATCATGCTTTCATGTATAGAAAAAACCCCACAGATATTATTAATCACAACATGTGTCCTATTAATCTAGGAAGCTCTCCAAAGAAGAACATGATCTATAGTGTATAATGGACAAAATGTCACAGATATTATTAATCACAACATGTGTCCTATTAATCTAGGAAGCTCTCCAAAGAAGAACATGATCTATAGTGTATAATGGACAAAATGTAGCAGAAAAGAGAAGGCCAATCCAGTCAGAGATATTTAGAAAACCTATCCACTGCCATCAAGGAGCTCTGACTCAAGGTGACCCTACACAGAGTTTCCAAGACTTTAAATCTCAACAGTCTTATCTTTCTTTTTCAGAGCAGCTGGTGGATTTGAATTGCCAACCTCAGTTAGCAGCTCAATGCCTAACCCACAATGCTACCAGGGTTCCTATTTAGAAAACAGATACTTAAATTCTCTGGTGATATCTTCTATATGTCAAGAAGCCCTTGAATATATATAGCTGAAACGATTTTATTATCTGTTAAGCCGTTAACTGTATGCCAGACAATGTGGTTGTTTCATTTAATCCTTACATCAATGCTGTAAGATTGTTGTGAAGTGCCATCGAGTCAGTTCTGACTCATAAAGGACCCTGTATATGGTTTCTGAGGAATGGCTGATAAGCTAGTACCTCCAACCTTGAGGTTCAAATTGACCTTGCAGTCCAGAGCATTAACCCAGAGCATACCACCAGGGCACATGTAAGGTACTATTATCATTATCCTGACTTAAAGATAGTATTATCACTATCCTGACTTAAAGACAGTATTATCCCTATCCTAACCTAAAGATAGTATTATCCCTATCCTGACTTAAAGACAGTATTATCCCTTATCCTGACTGAAAGATAGTATTATCCCTATCCTGACCTAAAGATAGTATTAACATTATCGGACTGAAAGATAGTATTATCATTATCCTGACTGAAAGATAGTATTATCCCTATCCTGACCTAAAGATAGTATTATCCCTATCCTGACTGAAAGATAGTATTATCATTGTTGTTGTTGTCAGGTGCTATGGAGTCGGAACCGACTCATAGCGACCCCATGCACAGCAGGATGAAACAATGTCC